ACACCATCACTATCAACCAACAGTAACACCGTCACTTGCAACCAACAGTAACACCGTCACTAGCAACCACAACTAACACCGTCACTAGCAACCAACAGTTACACCGTCACTTGCAACCACAAGTAACACCGTCACTATCAACCAACAGTAACACCGTCGCTATCAACTACAAGTAACACCGTCACTAGCAACCAACAGAAACACGGTCACTAGCAACCAACAGTAACACCGTCACTTGCAACCACCAGTAACACCGTCACTAGCAACCAACAGTAACAACGTCACTAGCAACAAACAGTTACACCGTCACTAGCAACCACCACTAACACTGTCACTTTCAACCACAAGTAACACCGTCACTAGCAACCAACAGTAACACCGTCACTAGCAACAAACAGTAACACCGTCACTAGCATGCACCACTAACACGGTCACTTGCAACCACAAGTAACACCGTCACTAGCAACCACCAGTAACACCGTCACTAGCAACAAACAGTAACACCGTCACTAGCAACAAACAGTAACACAGTCACTAGCAACCACCACTAACACGGTCACTTGCAACCACAAGTAACACCGTCACTTGCAACAAACAGTAACACCGTCACTAGCAACCAACAGTAACACCGTCACTAGCAACCACAAGTAACACCGTCACTAGCAACCAACAGTAACACCGTCACAAGCAACCAACAGTAACACCGTCACTTGCAACCACAAGTAACACCGTCACTAGCAACCAACAGTAACACCGTCACTAGCAACCAACAGTAACACCGTCACTAGCAACCAACAGTAACACCGTCACTCGCAACCACAAGTAACACCGTCACTAGCAACCACAAGTAACACCGTCACTAGCAACCAACAGTAACACCGTCACTTGCAACAAACAGTAACACCGTCACTGGCAACCACCACGAACACCGTCACAAGCAACCACAAGTAACAACGTCACTAGCAACCAACAGTAACACCGTCACTAGCAACCAACAGTAACACCGTCACTTGCAACCACCACTAACACGGTCACTTGCAACCACAAGTAACACCGTCACTAGCAACCAACAGTTACACCTTCACTAGCAACCAACAGTAACACCGTCACTAGCAGCCAACAAGTAACACCGTCACTAGCAACCAACAGTAACACCGTCACTTGCAACCAACAGTAACACCGTCACTAGCAACCAACGGTAACACCGTCACTAGCAACAAACAGTTACACCGTCTCTAGCAACCAACAGTAACACCGTCACTAGCAACCAACAGTAACACCGTCACTAGCAACCAACAGTAACACCTTCACTAGCAACCAACAGTAACACCGTCACTAGCAACCACAAGTAACACCGACACTAGCAACCAACAGTAACACCGTCACTAGCAACCAACAGTAACACCGTCACTTGCAACCACAAGTAACACCGTCACTAGCAACCAACAGTAACACCGTCACTAGCAACCAACAGTAACACCGTCACTAGCAACCAACAGTAACACCGTCACTTGCAACCACAAGTAACACCGTCACTAGCAACCACAAGTAACACCGTCACTAGCAACCAACAGTAACACCGTCACTTGCAACAAACAGTAACACCGTCACTAGCAACCACCACGAACACCGTCACAAGCAACCACCAATAACACCATCACTATTAACCAACACTCACACCGTCACCAGCAACCAACAGTAACACCGTCACTAGCAACCACAAGTAACACCGTCACTAGCAACCAACAGTAACACCGTCACTAGCAACCAACGGTAACACCGTCACTAGCAACCAACAGTAACACCGTCACTAGCAACCAACAGTAACACCGTCACTAGCAACCACAAGTAACACCGTCACTAGCAACCAACAGAAACACCGTCACTTGCAACAAACAGTAACACCGTCACTGGCAACCACCACGAACACCGTCACAAGCAACCACCAATAACACCATCACTATTAACCAACACTCACACCGTCACCAGCAACCAACAGTAACACCGTCACTAGCAACCACCAGTAACACCGTCACTACCATCAAACAGTAACAACCTGGGATACATCGTTATAGAATAGTGGTGGTGTGCGAGTATCTTTTTAAAAGAAGGAGGTGCTTTTAAAATATGAAAAGTGAATAAAGTATTTTGTGGAAGAATATTACACTAAATGATTTATGTTTTTAATACGCCATCACGATTAGCTTCTACCGGAGGGGGTGCGCGCCCCTGCACCTTTGTATGGGTCGTGTATGAGTTACACTATCACGAGTAACACTGTCACGAGTAACACTATCACGAGTAACACTATCACGAGTAACACTTTCATGAGTAACACTCTCTCGAGTAACACTATCACGAGTAACACATGGCAAGCAATCTCCTTTACCCTACATAATATATTTCACCGGTCTTACGTTCTGGTTATAGTAAACTGTTTAGCAATCAACATTAGTAGATTCGGTGATCGCCACCAGATATGTTTAGGAAGTGACTGTGATCGAGTGAACTTTCTTTTATCTCTGGGAACTGGCTGAATATACTGTCCGCACACGTGACGTAACATGGTGGTTCTTCGTTTCGCTGACTGTGTGCGTTCTGTCATCTGTTGGCGGTTGTCACACCAAAGCCACACAGTAGGCCAACTCGGCAGAAGAAAGGAATCTCCTAACTTCATCACAGACTTAGACTGGCGATCCTTCAAAAGTACGAGTCCCCTGATTGCGCCAGTGGCTTGGAGGACTCTACAGGATTAGGCTTACAATAAGCGGATATGTGTACTCGTTACTCGGTCAACTCTGGGTTTTTTTAAATCTAAGAGATGCTGATTAACCAGTCGCCATGGTTTGCTGTAAAACTATGGCGACTGGTCACCGATTGCTTGACCATTCATCAGTAGTTGTCTGACCAACAGAGGACGCAACATACTCTATTATATACCCAGTTTGCTTCGGTAATTCGTGGCGAATGTTGTTTTACGCCGCACTAACAACATTCAAACTGCATCACGGTTGTATTTAAACAATCAGGTCGGGGTCAAGACTGCCTGATGACAAACGACAGCAATGACCACGTTGTAGTCCCTGATCAGCAGAGGTAGGCTTGTACGATACGTGTCACCATCCCGGGGATCCCAGGGTTATTTCAACAATGCATCGCTACTGATTTGAACAATGTATACGTGTTGAAAAGGCTAGAGCTAAGTGCTTCCCTAATCATGTTGAAAACGCAAGTTTAATTCCCCATATGGGTAGAACAAAATACCTAAATTCAATACTCTGCGTCATATAACACTATCGCTTCAACCCACATTCATTTTATGAATGGTAAAAGGTTTAGTGAATAACAAGCCTGTAATGAAATGAATAAAAAAAAGAAAACAGGTTCAAATACATGTACCAGTCCTGTGAAAACTGAAATGTGATAGTGCTCCCTAAACACAACTAAGCAAGTCCTTGCCTGGTTAAACCAACGCTGTGAGGCAGGGGTGTATGTTCTCTTCTTCCACTAGACTGGCGAGTCTAGCTGCTTGTTTATTAATCAAACATGACATTTCTCCGTTTATCTGGGTTAGAAGCCGTGGGAAGGGGATCTGATTGGCCGCATGTGTGTAGTTTATCGGAAGATCTGTTGTATCTTGCCGTAATAACAGGATGTGGCAGCCCCAAGCATACGTCACACTTAATGCGTACTTTCGGTGCTTACTTATCCAATTACAACTATGATAAATGTACGATTTTCTCATTTTCTAAGCATTTTGACAGAATATTTTTAATACATATCTTATAATGTCGCACGAAAAATGATTTTAGGCTTTACAAAAACAGACCTTCGCTCTGTACAAAACACAGCCGAGCAGACACTGGTTTTCTATCTTGATCTCTCTTGGCTTCGTCTTTGTGAGTTATTGACGAATATGCTAAGATCTTGCTAAGATCTTGCTCTATTCCTGGCCGGGGACTAATTGGCAGACAAAAGGCAATCAGTGTTAAAAGCATACAGGTTTTTTTGTCTTGGCGTTTGTGTGTTAAAGTTCACAAATAGATTATGAAATCAAATGTACGAAATACAAAATTCTGCATCCATGAGTGTGTAACACAGCATCAGTGCGGATCCGTATCCGTGACATTGCTTCCCAGTCTTATCATACATGTTTTCAATAAGCGATAAGTTAATCGATAAGTTAATCGAAATGTTAAAGGTATGTATGCATTTATAGCGTCGTGCCACCAGCGTCTTCCGGCCATGCGCTGTTATATAACGTCCTCACTGCAACACTGCAACACTGCAACACTGCAGTGAGTCATACACAAAGAAGTTCTCCCACCACGACACCGCGACAGAAAAACAACGATGTGTGTTAGACAATGTTCCTGTTAACATTTTACAGATGGCGTTGGGGAAATCCCTCGTGCGTTTGTTGTGTGTTGGGGGACCTGCCTGTGGGCAGCTAATCAACTAAACACCTCCACTCCCCGGGTTAAGTCAACTGGGCCGGCTGCTGCACAGCGTCTCCGCATGCACAATGCCGACAGGCAAGATGCACGATGTTAAACTGTTTAGTCTTCTGGTGTCCTCAATTCAAATATCAATGTTTTTAGAAAAAAACTACTCGTGTAACAGCGCCCTCTGTCCTTTCCTGTGGTGTTGGTACACAGAAAGCCACAACAATCACAATACCAGGTGTTACGCATAACCTTTTCAAGGAGAAACTCCTGTACACGTGGGTACATTTATGTTTGATTTGGGTGCTTAACATTGCATCGACGTCTGAGAAAAAGACTTTCATCAGTCTGGAAGGAAATATCGTTAGAGGTACGTCAAGCTGATCTACTGAATGAGGCCACCAGACTATTCACTTAGGGGAGACAATTTACCTACAGACTTGTTGTATTATGGGATAGTTCGATCTCGTCGGGTAGTGCTGTTGAATCAATTCCTCTGTTCTACTTGGGCACCACTATTGAATCTCTTTCCCTGAATTAAATTTATTCCTCTGTTCAGCACGGGTATTGTTGTCGAGTCTCCGCCTGCGACCTCTCGGGCACAACTCTGGAATGTATTGCCCAGTTCTCTCCGGGCACACCGGTTGCATCTTCACATGTGATCTCTCCGGGCACACCGGTTGCATCTTCACATGTGATCTCTCCGGGCACACCTATTGCATCTTCGCATGTGATCTCCCCGGGCACACCTATTGCATCTTCACATGTGATCTCTCTGGGCACACCTATTGCATCTTCACATGTGATCTCTCCGGGCACACCTATTGCATCTTCACATGTGATCTCTCCGGGCACACCTATTGCATCTTCACATGTGATCTCTCCGGGCACACCTATTGCATCCCTTGCCCAGATCTCTCCAAGGACACCTATTACATCTCCACATGTGATCTCTCTGGGCACACCTATTACATCTTCACATGTGATCTCTCCGGGCACACCGGTTGCATCTTCACATGTGAACTCTTCGGCCACACCTATTGCATCTTCACATGTGATCTCTCCGGGCACTCCTATTGCATCTTCGCATGTGATCTCTCCGGGCACACCTATTGCATCTTCACATGTGATCTCTCCAAGCACACCTATTGCATCTTCACATGTGATCTCTCCGGGCACACCTATTGCATCTTCACATGTGATCTGTCCGGGCACACCTATTGCATCCCTTGCCCAGATCTCTCCAAGCACACCTACTACATCTTTAAATGTGATCTCTCTGGGCACACCTATTGCATCTTCACATGTGATCTCTCCGGGCACACCTATTGCATCCCTTGCCCAGATCTCTCCAAGCACACCTATTACATCTTCATATGTGATCTCTCCGGGCACACGTATTACATCTTCACATGTGATCTCTCCGGGCACACCTATTGCATCTTCATATGTGATTTCTCCGGGCACACCTATTACATCTTCACATGTGATCTCTCCGGGCACACCTATAACATCCCTTGCCCAGATCTCTCCAAGCACACCTATTGCATCTTCACATGTGATCTCTCCGGGCACACCTATTGCATCCCTTGCCCAGATCTCTCTGGGCACACCTATTGCATCTTCACATGTGATCTCTCTGGGCACACCTATTGCATCTTCATATGTGATCTCTCCGGGCACACCTATTGCATCTTCACATGTGATCTCTCCGGGCACACCTATTGCATCTTCATATGTGATCTCTCCGGGCACACCTATTGCATCTTCGCATGTGATCTCCCCGGGCACACCTATTGCATCTTCACATGTGATCTCTCCGGGCACACCTATTGCATCTTCACATGTGATCTCTCCGGGCACACCTATTGCATCTTCACATGTGATCTCTCCGGGCACACCTATTGCATCCCTTGCCCAGATCTCTCCAAGGACACCTATTACATCTCCACATGTGATCTCTCTGGGCACACCTATTGCATCTTCATATGAGATCTCTCTGGGCACTCCTATTGCATCTTCACATGTGATCTCTCCAAGCACACCTATTGCATCTTCATATGTGATCTCTCTGGGCACTCCTATTGCATCTTCATAAGTGATCTCTCCGGGCATACCTATTACATCTTCACATGTGATCTCTCTGGGCACACCTATTACATCTTCACATGTGATCTCTCTGGGCACACCTATTACATCTTCACATGTGATCTCTCCGGGCACACCTATTGCATCTTCACATGTGATCTCTCCGGGCACACCTATTGCATCCCTTGCCCAGATTTCTCCAAGCACTCCAATATCATCTTGTTGACCCACAAGTGACCTCCAATGCTATGACGCCAAGACTTACCGTATATGGTTTAAACATATTTTTATTCAAGAAGAATATAGAGCAACAAGCCGTATCACATATCTCTCGGCATTACTGATGATCCCGGGATGTATATGGGAACACTGTTAAATCTGATCCACAAACTTTCCTTGGCACAATGTTAGGACTCCATACACGACCCAATCTGAATGACATTGCGTAGTCCCCCTGTTCTCCACACAGCGCTGAGTGGTAAACAAAAAGCGACAAAACCTTTTCCATATTAAGAAATCTCTTCGACACCGACCATATCATGAACATGTATTTATGAATCATTATCATATAGTGATGATTCCAGGTGTTCGCAGAAAGATGGGCGTATCCACCAGTGGCTTCCGTCACAAACACATGCAAAGGCAAGTCAATTGTTCACATGAAAAAAAACACGGGAGCATATGGTTCAAGTCAAAATTGGGAATTGCATCCATCATCATCTTTTGACACTGATGTGTCAAATTTGGAAAGGTTCCAAACATGTTTACCATGAATCGTTTTGAAATCTTTACTGAGGCCTTGAATGGTGTAGCCTTGACCAAACAACTTCTTAGCAAGAGTTGAATGGCGATATTTGAAATCTTGGTAGAATTACCATGATCGATTGTACCTCAAATGTTGTGAAATATAGACACCAAGGGCTGGAACTACAGGAATGTTGCACGACATACAGGAAAAGTTGGCTATTATAAACCTACCTCTTGTCATACAATTTTTGTGGAGAATGTTTTGTCATTCTGAATCTTTATGCATACATCTAAATGTGAAAGAGATGAAGCGGTCTCACTAGTCTCCTTTATTTCTAGTTCAGGTTGGTAAATCAGTGGAAGGGATTTGGCTATAATTGTGTGTTAAAACCGTCTCTTCTAACCTCCCGGACAACACCTGGCCTCCCAGACAAGGTTGTGTGACAAACCCCTCTCACCTGGTCTCCAAGACTACGTTGTGTGACAAACCCCTCTGACCTGGTCTCCCAGACAACGTTGTGTGACAAACCCCTCTCCGCAGGTCTCCCAGACAACGTTGTGTGACAAACCCCTCTCACCTGGCCTCCGAGACAACGTTCTGTGACAAACCCCTCTCACCTGGTCTCCCAGACAACGTTGTGTGACAAACCCCTCTCACCTGGCCTCCCAGACAACGTTTTGTTACAAACCCCTCTCACCTGGCCTCCCAGACAACGTTGTGTGACAAACCCCTCTCACCTAGTCTCCCAGACAACGTTGTGTGACAAACCCCTCAGACCTGGTCTCCCAGACAACGTTCTGTGACAAACCCTTTCACCTGGTCTCCCAGACAACGGTGTGTGACAAACCCCTCAGACCTGGTCTCCCAGACAACGTTGTATGTTAAACCCCTCACACCTGGTCTCCAAGACAACGGTGTGTGACAAACCCCTCTCACCTGGTCTCCCAGACGACGTTGTATGTTAAGCCCCTCTCACCTGGTCTCCCAGACAACGTTGTGTGACAAACCCCTCTCGCCTGGTCTCCCAGACGACGTTGTATGTTAAACCCCTCTCACCTGGTCTCCCAGACAACGTTGTGTGACAAACCCCTCTCACCTGGTCTCCCAGACGACGTTGTATGTTAAACCCCTCTCACCTGGTCTCCCAGACAACGTTGTGTGACAAACCCCTCTCGCCTGGTCTCCCAGACAACGTTGTGTGACAAACCCCTCTCACCTGGCCTTCCAGACAACGTTGTGTGACAAACCCCTCTCACCTGGCCTCCCAGACAAAAATGTGTGACAAACCCCTCAGACCAGGTCTCCCAGACAACGTTGTGTGACAAACCCCTCTCACCTGGTCTCCCAGACAACGTTGTGTGACAAACCCCTCAGACCTGGTCTCCCAGACAACGTTGTGTGACAAACCCCTCAGACCAGGTCTCCCAGACAACGTTGTGTGACAAACCCCTCTCACCTGGTCTCCCAGACAACGTTGTGTGACAAAACCCTCAGACCAGGTCTCCCAGACAACGTTGTGTGACAAACCCCTCTCACCTAGTCTCCCAGACAACGTTGTGTGACAAACCCCTCAGACCAGGTCTCCCAGACAACGTTGTGTGACAAACCCCTCTCGCCCGGTCTCCCAGAGAACGTTCCGTGACAAACCCTTAGACCAGGTCTCCCAGACAACGTTGTGTGTTAAACCCCTCAGACCTGGTCTCCCAGACAACGTTGTGTGTTAAACCCCTCTCGCCTGGTCTCCCAGACAACGTTGTGTGACTAACCCCTCTCGTCTGGTCTCCCAGACAAAGTTGTGTGACAAACCCCTCTCACCTGGTCTCCCAGACAAAGTTGTGTGACAAACCCCTCAGACCAGGTCTCCCAGACAACGTTGTGTGACAAACCCCTCTCACCTGGTCTCCCAGACAACGTTGTGTGACAAAACCCTCTCACCTGGTCTCCCAGACAACGTTGTGTGACAAACCCCTCTCACCTGGTCTCCCAGGCAACGTTGTGTGACAAACCCCTCTCACCTGGTCTCCCAGACAACGTTGTGTGACAAACCCCTCAGACCTGGTCTCCCAGACAACGTTGTGTGACAAACCCCTCAGACCAGGTCTCCCAGACAACGTTGTGTGACAAACCCCTCTCACCTGGTCTCCCAGACAACGTTGTGTGACAAACCCCTCAGACCAGGTCTCCCAGACAACGTTGTGTGACAAACCCCTCTCACCTGGTCTCCCAGACAACGTTGTGTGACAAAACCCTCTCACCTGGTCTCCCAGAAAACGTTGTGTGACAAACCCCTCTCACCTGGTCTCCCAAGCAACGTTCTGTGACAAACCCCTCAGACCTGGTCTCCCAGACAACGTTGTGTGACAAACCCTTCTCACTTGATCTAAAGTCGTTTTTAATCGAGAAAACACTTCTCCTTGTTGTCCCCTTGCTATGTTCCCTCCTGTCAGGTTTTGCAATCTCAAGTAATCCCGAGGAGAGGGAGTGAGTGAGTTGGGTTTAACGCCCTCTTAACAATATTCCAGTTATATCACGGCGTTTCAGCTTAATGTGGGCGGAAAGCCCGAAGTGATGCAGGTCTCAGACGTTTACCACTTTGGTGAAACCTACGAGCACGGGTATGGTGCTGACAAACCTAGAAACATAATCGGGGCGAACCGGGATTCGAACCCACAATCACAGGCGTGCCCAAGTGACGCCTTAGACAACTGGGCCACCCATGTCCCGAATCCCAAGGAGAAGTGGTTTGACTCAGCACGTAGATGAAAAGAATGAGTTGGTGAGTGAGTCGGGTTTAACGCCGCTTTTAACAGTATTCCAGTTATATCACGGCGTGTCAGCTTAATGTGGGAGGAAAGCCCGAAGGGATGCAGGTCTCAGACGTTTACCACTTCGGTGAAACCTATGAGAACGGGTATGGTGCTGACAAACCTAGAAACATAATGGGGTCGAACCGGGATTCGAACGCACAATTATAGGTTTCTGGCGTGCCCAAGGGACGCAACTCTGCACAGCGAATCGCGGCGCCTCAGACAACTGGGCCACCCGTGCCCCCAATCCCGAGGAGAAGTGGTTTGACTAATTACGTAGATGATAAGAGATAATCGAGAAACCTTGTAGTGAAACAATATACTGTGTCGCGGTATGAAAGGAATTCGGTCAAAGCGTGTGAGAGAACAACCATGCGCAGCATGGACCAACTGGATTCATGACATGTAGAATTGAACAACTTTTCATCACCTTCCCCGGTGGCTCAGTGGAAAAACAGCGGGTTACAAAACTAAACGCGATATGTGAGGTTGCAGTTTCGATTCCGTAATCCATAGTGAAAACGTTCATTTCTTGTCTTCGATTTTAGAACGTTTGAAACACTAAGGACAAATTTACAGGTATCTATGTCATCTTTGTCATCCGATTGCAATTGATTGCGCACTTTGGGGGATGTATAGGGTTAATAATGGTGATATAAGAAGGTGGCACACAAGATAATGTGTCACAAGGCACGAGTAGATCCGTAAAAGATTGAAGATTGATAAAAGGTGGGAAAGTAGAAGGTTGACGGTGATATAAGGTGGGACAACAAGGTCAGTAGAAGATTGACAGTGATATAAGGTGGGACAAGAAGGTCAGTAGAAGATTGACGGTGATATAAGGTGGGACAACAAGGTCAGTAGAAGATTGACGGTGATATAAGGTTGAACCACAAGGTCAGTAGAAGATTGACGGTGATATAAGGTGGGACAACAACGACAGTAGAAAATTGACGGTGATATAAGGTGGGACAAGAAGGTCAGTAGAAGATTGACGGTGATATAAGGTGGGACATCAAAGTCAGTAGCAGATTGACGGTGATATAAGTTGGGACAACAAGGTCAGTAGAACATTGACGGTGATATAAGGTGGGACAACAAGGTCAGTAAAAGATTGACGGTGATATAAGGTGGGACAAGAAGGTCAGTAGAAGATTGACGTTGATATAAGGTGGGAAAACAAAGTCAGTAGAAGATTGACGGTGATATAAGGTGGTACAAGAAGGTCAGTAGAAGATTGACGGTGATATAAGGTGGGACAACAAGGTCAGTAGAAGGTCGACGGTGATATAAGGTGGGACAAGAAGGTCAGTAGAAGATTGACGGTGATATAAGGTGGGACAAGAAGGTCAGTAGAAGGTTGACGGTGATTTAAGGTGGGACAAGAAGGTCAGTAGAAGATTGACAGATTGACGGTGATATAAGTTTGTACAAGAAGGTCAGTAGAAGATTGACGGTGATATAAGGTGGGA